GGGACATTATTTCCGTATTTAAAAACATTTTATTTTTTTTACAGGTCAGATTGTTGTGGACATGGTTGCTGTGCTGGGTTTATGCTTGATATTAACAGAAGTTCTTGTACACGTAAGTTCATTTTTCCCCACTTATTTCTGGAAATATACCAATTATACAGTAACAGTGCTTTGATTTATCGCTGTATATAATGAACATTCATGAATTCAATAGCTAAAATAACTATTATATATCGAAAAGCCTGTGATACTGGTTATATTGGGAGGGATTGTGAGATACTATGTCCATTTCCAATGTTTGGTGATGGTTGCCAGTTCCGATGTGACTGTGATATTTCCTCTTGTAGTCCTTTGATCGGTTGTCAATCCGCCATTAGTGAGTACTATTTGCTGAACAATATAATTATCATATAACAATTGCTTTTCAAAGTTATATTTATTCAAAAGTAAAATATAATAAATTTTGCGCTTAATACAAACTTGTCAGTTAAATCAATTTTATAGTATTCCTTCTGTTAATAATAGCTACCTTACAGAATGACAGAATGCTGACCAACCAGTATGATTTAAATTTTAATTTGTCCACACCACCTACAGCAGAAAGTAATATTAAAGTTAATACAAGTACTGCTAAAATAAGAGAAATAGTGATAGAAGGACACACAAATGAATATCATACGAGGATCGGAAAATCTCATTCTCCTGCGACAAACACAAAGGCAGTTCCTAGGAAAGTGGAAAAAGAAACAGACTCATTAGCTATCGGTGCAGGCAGTGCATTATTGATAGGTATCTTTGTATTTAATGCATTCTTTGTCGTCTTAGTATTTACTGTTGTACTGTATTGTGGTTGTCGTAAATATAGAAAGTACAGAAAACGCAAGAAAGATAACGCCGCCACTGTTATTCATTACCATGAAATCGATGACAGTATCGCTGGGCCTTGCATGGATTACGACCCTTTGTACACAGCAGGTGGCGCGGAGTTGAAACACGTCCTTGTTGAATATGAGAATGAACCTTTGAACAGGGAGAGAAAGAGTGTAATAAACATTGATTCACAGAAAAGACAGTCAGATACGTCACCAAAACAATTAGCACGTCCGAGTGAGCTTGTATTAGAACAAACGTATACACAGGAAGGGCACAATACGGAATAAAAAAAAAGAACAGATTATTATGCACGTATTTGTACATCTGCTTGTAAAAGGCAAATTACAGATTTTAACTGTTTATTTTTTACTTTGTTGATTTTGAACATATAATGTGAACGTCATAAAATGTTTAATTTTTTCATTCTTTATATGGATTAATTTATGTAAATTGTGAACACATACAAAAGCATGTTTATAAATGTAACGATTTCTTATTACTATAAGGCCAACACTTATATGATTTTTTTCTATTAAGATATTTTTGCTTGATAAAAAATGTGTTTTTTAATATACATTTGATATTTTATAACTCCACTCGTTCTTTCTTTACTTGTATTTTGGTATTTGTTTAGCAATTTTTATGCTCCCGTAAACGAAATTTCAGGGTATATAGTTTTTGCCGTGTCCGTCCGTCTGTCTAGCTGTCTGTCAGTCTGTTTAGTTGTATCTCTGTCTGTTTGTCCGCAAAAACTTTAAACTTGCCCATATCTTTTGATTTAGTGTAGTCATGACTTTCATAATTCATATGGGTATTCCTTGTGAACAGACCTTTCTTTGGGTACTACCATATTTGACCTTTTGACCTTGCCTTGGGAGTTTGAACAATTTTAAAAGAAAATTTAAAACTTTTACTTTGTCCATATCTTTTTAACAGTAGACACAAGGAAATTTACACTCTTTGTTGAAAGACCTTTCATTGGCTACTAACAACCTTGACCCTACGACCTTGACCTTGAAAAAAAAATTCAAACTGCGTTGATTTTGTGCGAATTTTAACGCACTTTGATTTTGTTTTCAAATTGCGTACTTTTTTTATCACTTAAGCTCTTATTACTCGAATTGTGTTTAAGTAAACATGATAAAACATCGTAATTTATGTGCCAAGAACATGCTTTATCCACCCAGAAAATGTTGAAGATATATTATTTTCTTTAAGAGATATCAGCTCTGTCTACAAAATTTTGGGACAACCCTCGTACATACAAAGCGAACACAATGTCAGGCAATGAAATGAAGAAAGGCATTTACTGGTGGGCCCACGTTACCAAGTCCAATGATAGGTTGTTGTTTGCTTAAAATTATTACCGGGCCGGTTATTGCAGAGATTTTTTCCCGAATTATTATAACTTGCATCTACACAATGAATCGCAGATTAGTGATATGTGGAGTAAAACACACAAATCTGCACTGTGTAAATGTTTGCAAATGTAATTTCCTGAATGAAGAAGAATGTAGAAACAAAAGATAGAAAAGATCAGAGAAAATTCAAATGAAATGTAGAAGTGGCTATTTTTTTTATTAGGTGAAATTGTAAGTACTCTATTATCTTTTTTAAAGTTTCTTTTCGCTAATTAGTTAGATATTCATAGATTCTTTCTCCTTTTTTAATGACATCAAGTGATAATTAGAAAAAAATTAATGACCTTTGTCTATAAAAAATCACATTAATGTAATTAACAATGAAAAAAAGCTAGAAAGACAATTTGTGTATATGCACATACCTGGCAGTATATCATAAAAGCAATCCTAAGTGAGATGGCATTACCTTGAATCACAGCTAGCAGAAAAAAAACCTTGTATTACGTTGAAATGTTAAATTTATTTTCGAAAAGATCCTTCATAAGATCGTGATAGAAACAATGTTAAAGAAAACAACAGTTACCTATCTTTGTCCCTTACATTTCATAGCAATATATTAAGGTCGTCTGAGTAATTCATGTAACCCATTGCTACATGTATCTGTTTTCGTCTGTCGTCGTTAGTCGGTCTTATATACTATTGAACATGTTAGCATTTCTCTGAAACCACTGAACAAACATCAAACAAATTGGATATACAACTTCTATGGCGTGTAAATGGAAATAAAATATGTGAATTTCATGGTCCTTGCTCCCTTGAATTATGCGGGATGAGACTGAAACCACAAAAATTAATGCAACCTTTAAAAATATTTTTCTTCAAAGCTGGACATCGAGCAGTCAAACTATTAGCCTGATTGTAGTAAGCAGTGAGCCCTATACCAAAAGGGTGAATTTTGTGACCTATTACATTTAAGAATATTTACATTCGCTGTTTTTTTTCTACTAAGTCAAGTGTGAAACTGATTTGAAAACCATTTTCGTGTATACTCATGCTTAGAAATATACTCAGAAAAATGTGCGTTAACGTGACGTCACAATGAGTCTTCAGCGACGTTAGTAAATTACAACGATATAGGGCAGCAAGAATTCAAAATATTGCGTAAATTTTAGTTCCTTCCAAACATGTAAAATGTAAATATAAGGAATGTTTTTAAGTTTAGTGTGAATTATTGGTGTGAGAATCACACAGACTTGCACGTAGGCATATTTTTCATGAAGCGCTATAGCGCTTCATTAAAAATGCCAACGTGACAAGTCTGTGTGATTTACACACAAATAACTCACACAAAACTTAAAAACATTCCTTAATTACAAACCACACTTCTAATGTGTTGTTGATATAACTAATATGCAATAACTTTGAAAACAAAATATCAAGTACAGACTTTTTTTTAATCAAAGATAGATAACAGACAAGTACAGATTTTTCTTTTGCTCTTGAAATTAAGGATATGATCGTGACAGCATTCAGGAGGGGTACATAAAGAAATAATCTCTATTTTTCCAATTTTTGTTTGAGTGTTACATAATTATGTACATGAGCATTTGTGTGTATGGCTACGGGTAGGTATTAAAATATTGATTTTAAAGTAGAAGAAGAAATCTTTTTTACCTATTACATTTGTTTTCAAGATTGTTCTACACGTCAGAAAAATAATCGAATTATAAAATAATACTGAGTAAATTAATTCCCCTCATATCTCATTTTCAAATTCATGAGTAATTATCTTATAATGAGAGTTTTAGGTTATGTGTGACGTTCTTTGTGTCTTATTAAAAAAAAGAATATGTGCACAAAAGCAGGAAACCATAATTGGTACTTTTTTTTTGTTTGATGGACTTTAATATCGAACTACTTGACAATTTTAATTTTCGGAAGAAATATTTTGTCAACAACTGTTTCGAATTTGTAACGCATTCAAGGTTACAATAGAATAAGCTTGGGGTACATTTAAGAAACAGTGAAACAAATAACTTTTATTGAAAATCATTTTTAAAGCCAATCTATGGCTTTAAAAATGTTGCCTTTTGGGCATAGTTGTTCAACAAATACGACATTTGTGCAAAGTGAAGGCATTGTTTCGTCAAAGTTGTCAGTTGACAAAGGATTACCAAGTTAAAGTTTGTGTTCTTAGAACGAGACACAAGAAATTTATTTATGAAGTTTTGCAATATATATATTTCCTATATAAATTTGTCTGAACGAATTCAGTGCATAAAACATACATCCCTTTTCAGTCCAATGCCCATTCCTTCTTAGTTAGAATGAAAATTTTCAGCTTCTATACTTAGAAGCTATTTTTAGACATTTTTGTGCAGAAGAAAATTTTCAGCCATCAGTCTTGTCCGGTATATATTGCTGTTCTCTTAGTTGACGGGGACATTGAGATGAATCATTTTCTGGCATATGCAGGAAAATGATGAAATATATAATCATTTCAATTACAATAATAATGACTGCATTGTGTGTAAGAAAAGTAAGTAAAAGTTTTATCTTATTTCAATTATTTTTCTTTCATGACTTTGAGGGGGTCTAAAACTTCAGTGTTTCTTTAAAAAAAACATCAAAGAGAATTCACTTTAGAAAGCATTTTTTTAAATAAATTTTCCCTGTGTTCAAACAAATAAATTAAAACCGAAGTTTAACTGATAGAATCTGATATGCCCGAACAAATGCATTTATCGGCCAATGTTTTGAGAAATTATTGCATTTAATTTTACGGTCCTTGACATTTAAAATAGCATTTTCAAACACATTAATTTACATTATTTTTAAACAGGTTACAGCATTAGGAAAATGTGAAATCTCAATATTAACTTTGCGATTTGTTGAGAAATGTCCAGAAGATAAGGAGTCGTGGGCAAGAGCAGCACAAAGATTAAACTGTGAATCTATTTCTCAGTCCTGTGCAGAATCTTTGAAACCCCCATTCAGAAATCAAAATTACATTTTCCAATACCACTGTGTAATAAACTCTTATCGAAACGCAACAATGGAAGTTTGTGCATTAAATCGTACAATACTGGGTACGTATATCAGATTGACAACCTTACACCCATCTGATCATATATTAACCCTTATCCCTAGTGAAGGTAATGTTTAATTAAAACATTTGTTAATCGCAACATAAATATCCCAACTCACACTATAATTCATAAGTAGGATTAATGTACAAACATGCACAGCATGCTTGAAAAATAAACTTTATATGTAATCGAGTCACTCATTGCAACAAATATTTTTTTTTTTATTCTTAAATTTCTTTTTTTTTTGAGAATACTTATTCATTTTTCATTATCGATACAAAATTCCTCTAATATGCCAATTTTTTTTTATTTACAATATAATGTATTGAATGATATAACACATTGTAGGTTTTTGCGCCGAGTTTAATATACATGGAGCGGTCATACAAGATAATTACGACGCAGACTGTAAACAGCATACACGACCATGTCCATCAAGCTATAATTCTGCCGAGTCTTATAAATGTAAGAATTAGATTTTTTTATCAGCTTTCGTGTTATTTAAAGAGAACAACTATGCAATATACAGTTATCTACAATCTTGTACAAAGTGTAAGTATTTTGAGATGGTCCTCTCTTTATCCAAATTATTTATGCATGCAATTTTCAACGAATCATTTTTTAATCACATTAGATCCGTCCTGTTATGAGATGGCACAAAGAAACAGGAAAACAGGGACTGAAACAGAGGAAGACAAAATTCATTCATCAGCAAGCTCGATGTAACGCATCTCTTTAATTTTTTCGATGTCCTATTTTTATGAATGTATATGTCTATGTCATTTAATGCCTGTTGCACATTCATTACAGGACTGCTATTGGTCTATTTCTCTTTACGGTCTGTTTACTAAGAAGGACAATGCTCTTTTGAGTCACTGGGTCGCCGGGTATTTTTTTTTTTTTTTACAAATTTAAATGTTGCTGGTTCAACAGTCACTACACCAAGACGTTGAAGATAATTCCGTGCGTACAGTCAAAAGGAAGAGGTGTGTGTTCATAAAAATGATATTCCCCTGAAAACAGATTAAATGGAATGAACAATACAGAGGTTGCATTTATGTGTAAGAATAGCCGTGCATGTCGAGGGGTTTTAAAATCCAATCCATATTTATTTACCACATGTGGTTTTGTATTATATGTAGAAATGTTTGTTTTATGAATTCAGTCGAAGTCAATAGTACATACGGGTACATTGTATGTTTACAATTAAATTGAGAGGAATATAATTTTGTGTTTTTTGAGTGGAAATGCAATAACCGTTGGTGTAATATATGAGATCTTGAACGGTTTTTACTGCAACAATAATGAATAAGTACTCGTTATTTGGGTTTTGTTTTATGATGATCATGTTTGCATTTATGTCATTCAGGTTTTAAATTTTATGAATAGGCTTCTTGAGTGTAAATAAATTGCATGATATTTAAAGAAGACTTTTTAAAGGTTATTCGTACTACGTCGTTACACCTGTAGTAAATTAAAAAAAAAAGTACTTAAGACCTCCCCGTTGGCTATTAAGAGACATAACAGGGAACTGAACGCACCAATACACAGTAATGTAGCATGGTTTTTGAAAAGCGAGTAAATAAATTCAACCTACCTGCCAAAATAAAATGATAAGCAAAAAAAAAAATTGTCCTAACTCGGCAAATCTTTTTGGGCAGAGAAAAATTCTATTTTGGGGAGAGGGGGCAACTTCTTTCTTTTTCTTCGAATTCATAATATACTTAATAACCCTTATTTAGACTTCGCCTTTTGAATCGGTCTCATGGAAATTCTCAAAAAGCGAGATTCCGTAACAAAAGCATTGGCACGATAAACACTGCACGAAAAGTCACCTTTTATAATATTTAATAGTTTACAAAATGTTTACAAAAGATGAACCTTTATCTTTCATCACCTTTTTCACATCAAAAGGTTGACTTTCACCTTTAAATTTTGGTAAGGTGAACAAAATTTCATCTTTTTTCATCTTCTGTAATATTAAAAGTTGATCATTCACCTTTTGCTCTGAAAAGTTGATTATATATCATCTTTCCATCTTTTACAATTGTTAAAGTTCATCTTTTTTAATCTTTTGAAATAATAAAAGTTCACCATTCACCTTTTTTCACTGAAAAGGTAAATGTACATCTTTTCTTATTTAAAAAAATTAATTACTTTCCATATCAAAGTATCATAAATAAACTTTTTTAATTGAATAAAAAAAAATTTGTTTTACTTTTTTGTCAAATGACAAATTTATAGATAAAATCAAGGTATACTGCAAGATATTTACATCATGTAATCATTAAAACATAGAAAACTTAATGGACACAAAAGCACTTTAAACTTTACAACTCGCTTTTGCTTAAATCGTGTTAAATATATGTAACACATATTTCTCTTTTAGACATAATGAATCTTAGCATTAAAAAATATGCAAACAAGACAAAAATTTCTGCTGGTATAATTTTAAAAGATTGTCACGACAAAAGCTCTTCATCTGCATTCCAAGGTGTTACCGGGTATACCATTTTCTGTAAGACAAAATTGAAATAAGAATTTAATTACTCATAGTGACTTGAAACAAAATATTTTTATATAACCATGACAAATTAAGAATATTTCAGTCAATATATTTTAATACTGAGTTAGGATTCTACTTCAAGTTCATAAATGGATATGATATAATAAAGGTAAATTAAAGAAACTCTGACAGCATGTTTAGTTAAATACTGTTATTCACCTCTCCAAAACTTCCTAGCTAGAGGATTATTTGAACTGAAAACACCTCTTCACAGCAAACTGGCGAGAGGATGTTGATTTACAAAGTAGCCATTAATGAGTTTTCACATTATAAAAAGTTATATTTTAACAAATATTTTTTTTGGTCACCTCTCCATATCTGCCCGGCTAGAGGATCATTTCAACTGAAAACACCTCTCCATGGCAAACTGGCACGAGGATTCCATCACTGCATGTAAATCCCTACATTTAAGACATTTTTATTTATATATCATAGATACTTTAAGTAAATGTAGTTTAACAAAAAAATCTGTGTCTTGGTCACCTCTCCATATCTGCCCGGCTAGAGGATCATTTCAACTGAAAACACCTCTCCATGGCAAACTGGCATGAGGATTCCATCACTGCATGTAAATCCCTTTATTTAAGACATTATTGTAATACATCATAGATAAGTCCTTTTAATTTGAAAATATTGTTTATATATATATATATATATATATACCATTCACTCTTTTTTTAGCATGGTGTATTCCTTGAAGCGGACATAGAGAGGATTGGATGTGAATGATATTAAGTTTTTGTTTTTTTTAAGTACTCCTTGCAGTAGAAGTGGTTTCTGATGGTTTTGGTGATCATGGTTCAGTTGATGAAGAATGTAATGTAGTGTTGTAAGACATGATGATGCAGTGCAAAGACATGAGATTTTTTGTACTTGCTTTTCTCAACTGTTTCCTTTTTTCTCTGTCTTCATCACGTTTCCTATGGCAGTATTCCTTGCTTCAATTCCGTGTTTGCCCAAATTAACCTATAAAAATAATTTTTTATATGTTTATGTACTTCACAAAAATATAAACATGCTGATATAATACAATGTATTCTAATTGCAATGTATGTGTACAGCTGAAATTAACAAAGTCTATGACTCACTTCTGTCACTGAATACATTTTTTTAGCATTTATAGGTGTAGAAGGAAAACATATAAAATTTATTACTGGATCATCAATTTAGATCCCTGTATAACTTGTCAAATGCTCCATTTACTGAGCTAGCCTACCCCCAAGACCTACAGCCACTGTGAGTCCTGATATTCTAACAAATAGACATACAATAACAGAAATATGCAATGACCCTATAATAAATCATATACATCTTTTTGTTATTCCCTTGCTAAGGACTTTTTCTGTCTTTTCTGCTGCCTTGAAGCTTCAAAATGGATGCACGCATACATGCATTGCATGTACAAAAGCGATACAAAATCAATCAGATTATTTATATTTTGATCCAGGTTAAAATTGTTTTAGATTTTAAATTTAAGTCTAGAAAAATAACTTTTTAAAAAAAATTACACTAAGCTTTCATGCTAAATCAAAATCTTAGATTACCTTTGTTTCCTGACCCAAATTTTCCACTTGCAAAGCACATGGGATGGGTGATGTCATACCTTGGGATGGGGTTTCAGGAGTTCCTGCAAGATGCATAGATGCCTAATTAAATTTCCGGTTTATTTTGCCGCGCGGGATTTCCAATCGTTTGAATGTTTTGTCATGGACAAGATATAATCAACATCAGAATGAGTCAATGTTTCGATTCTGATAGCATTGAATTTATAGTGATGATGGATCTAAAAGTGAAAACAAACAATCTGAAAAACCCTTTACCTCAAAACAGGGACAGGAGTACGTATCCAAACCAAAAAGGCGCCGGTTTTCATATCCGCCACCCATCTTTGAATCTTCGGAGGAGGAAAATGGTGCACGAGAGTGTCAGGTAATTTGGACTGTTGAACGTCTTCACATTATAAATGTTTTATTTTTCTAAAATATACAGCTGTAGAACATTTACTTCGCTCACAAATATATGATTCACTGGGCCTAGAAACGTCTGTATTTTGTTTTTACAATGAACCATGGCGCAATGATGTATCGAAGTTGTGCAGACAGCTGATACACAGTGATAGAGGATTCTCGAGTTGAATGTTAGCTGAATAGTTTCGAAATCGTATATGTTCAAAACAAATGATCAGAGGGAATCATCTCTAACTTATTAGCTAATAATTAAAATGGTCTTCGAACTGTTTCACCTTTTTCTAAAATAACTTCACCTTTTGTTTTCCAAAATGCGAAAAGTCCGAAAACAATGTGGAATGCGGAAGATGCAGTGCGATGAGTTCCGAATATTTCTGATTTTATCTACTTTCGTTTTTAGGACGCTGTAGCTACGGTAACACCATGATGCCCGACCATGAAGTGCATAAACGCCAAGTTTCTCAACACCATTAGGGGAAAAAAGGAAAACACAGTCAACACTGAAAAAACGACACACGTGTGCGTGGAGAGAGTAAATGCAAGTAAATCAATGTGATCCGACATTCCTTTAACCCCCACTCTGTGGCACTCATTTATTACTTACTTACTTATGGTTACTTATGGTATTTTTCCAACACAGGTCCTGTCAAGGTCCTCTTCGTCGGACTCCAAACTTGCTTTGTAGCTACGTGGGTGACTACCGGTGTAATCGGTTTTAAAGTCTACTTTGTAGTTATAGAGCACATCCTGGTCCTTCCAGAAGTTGTCTAGTCTATTCTTGAAAGTATTCAGAGTTTTAGCACTAACAACGTCCTCTGGTAAGCTATTCCATAGACTGACAGTTCTAACACTGAAGCTGAATTTTCTTATATTGAGTCTCGGTCTCTGTACCAATAGCTTCTTGGAATTCCCTCTTCCTTGTTCCCTCATAACGTGGTCTCTCCTTAACTTGATAAAGTCTGCTGCTAATGGGTCATACTTTCCACTTGTTATTTTGTACACTTCAATCATATCTCCTCGGTGGCGCCTGTACTTCAGCGTTGGTAGTTTTAGTTTCTTCAACCTTTCTTCATAGCTTAATTTTGCCAATCCTGGAATCTGCTTGGTAGCTCTTCTCTGCACTCCTTCAATCATCTCTATGTGTCTTGATTTGAAAGGGAACCAGACCGAACTCGCATAGTCTAAGTGTGTCCTGACAAGTGTCTTATAAAGAGGAATGAAAGTTTCTTCATCCAGATGTTGAAACGTTCGCCTTAACATTGCAAAAATAGAGTTTGCCTTTTTCACCTTCTCGCTTATGTGTCTGTCAAAGCTGAGTTGTTCATCTATGATGACTCCTATGTCTTTTTCCTCTTGTACCTTCTCCAGAGTGCGTCCTAACAGCTCATACTCAAAGTCTTGGTCTGGGTCTTTCTTTCCAATGTGCATGTGTTTACATTTATCTGGATGGAACTTTAGGAGCCAGGTGTTACTCCATTCTGTTAGTTTCTCAAGATCTCTTTGAAGTGTCATTTTATCTTCCCTACCCTTAACTATGTTGAAGATTTTCGTGTCGTCGGCAAAAAGGTACACAGTAGAGCTCACGATATCAGGGAGATCGTTGATAAATATAACGAACATTATCGGCCCAATTACTGACCCCTGCGGAATGCCGGAAGTTACGCTATGCCATTTTGATGTTGCCCCGTTTATGGATACTTGTTGTTTCCTTCCACTTAGGTAGTTCCTTATCCAGTCTACAAGTTCTTTCCCTATTCCATATGCTTCCAGTTTCTTAAGCAGTCTGTTATGTGGGACAGTATCAAAGGCCTTTTGATAGTCCATGTAGATACAGTCAACATCATGTCCACTGTCCAAAGCCTCTGTCCATTCCTCTAATACCCTTAACAGTTGTAGTGAAGTTGATCTACCACTGATAAAGCCATATTGTTTAGTTGTAAAGAGGTTGTTGCTTACAAAATGCTCTATTATGTGGTCCCTAACTAGTCTCTCCATAACTTTACACACCACTGACGTTAAGCTCACTGGTCTGTAGTTTCCTGCTATCGCCTTGTTTCCTTTTTTAAAGATCGCACTAATACGTGCTGTTTTCCATTCTTCTGGGACTTTTCTATCATCTATCGATTTCCTAAAGATCCTTGCTAGGGGTTCTGCTAATTCCACTCTTAATTCCCTCAATAGCCTTGGATGCATATTGTCTAATCCTGGTGACTTATCTGGCTTTAACAGGTTCAGTGCTTTGACAATTCCTTCCTCCAATATTCTTAATTCTGTCCACTCCTTCTTGATAGGGCGTTTGTCCAGTTCGGGTATGGCTTCCTCAGGTTCTTGTGTAAAAACGCCACTAAAAAAGTCTGCTAAAATGTTTGCTTTCTCTTCGTCCACTTCTGTTTTATTAGACTTTGGATTTTTAGGGTCTACACACAGTTCCCCGATTCCTTGTCTCGTTTTACTTTTTGAGTTAATATACTGCCATATCTTTTTTGGGTTAGTTTTTGCCTCTTGTGCTATACTCTTTTCGAATGACTTCCTTGCTTTCCTCACAAACTTTGCCACTTTGTTCCTAGTCCTATTGTACTTTTTCCTTATATTTGGATCCTTGGTAGCCACATATTTTCTGCTCAGTGCGTTTTTTTCTTTGATCAAGGTGACAGTTTCTTTGTCCAAGGGCATTTTCGTTTTTCTGCTTGGTCTGATGGTGACTACTGGCACATATTTATCTTCTATGTCCTCAATTTTTTGTCGGAATTGACGCCACATCTCGTTTACTGTGCTCTGTGACTCCAGAATGCTTTCCCAATCTGTTTCGCTAATTTCCTTCTTCATACCCGCAAAGTTAGCTTTCCTGTAAGTCCTCCTCTTTTTTGGTCCGCTTTTCAGTATTGCACTGCAAACATAATTAAAGCAGATAACACAGTGGTCGCTCTTTCCTAATGGGCTCTGGTATTCCATTTCCTCCACAGCATTTTCATCCTTTGTGATCACAAGATCCAAAATGGTTGGAATGTTCGTTCCTCTCCACCTTGTTGGTTTTGTGATGGTTTGGAACATGAAGTTGTCCTGCAGACAATCTATGAATTTCTGCTCAGCAGAGTTTTCACTTTTTGTACACAGTAAATCCCAGTCTATGTTAGGAAAGTTGAAATCTCCCATAATGAGATAGTGTTTGCACTTCATTCTTGAGGCTTCAGTTATCAGGTTTCTTAAACATTCATTTTTTTCTTCGGTGTTGTCTGACGGTGACCGATAAATGAGGCCGGCTAGGAAATATTCTGTGCTGTTTATCTTTATTTTCACAAATAGCTGCTCCTCGAAGGACGCTGAAAGTTTTGCCTCCTCTGCATAAAGAGAATCATGTACATATAAAAGTAGTCCTCTACCTATGCTGCTTTCAATATTTACATAGAACATCCTGTATTCCTTCGTCCAATCCATCGTATATTCAGCTGGATTAGGTGCACATGTTGCATTTTTTGCCTTCACTTCTGTTATTCCTATTATCAATGGCTTTGTGTCCCTTATCCTGACCTGGAACTCATTGAACTTATTTCTAAATTGGTCTGCATTGGTGTAAAAGAACGAAAGTTTGTTTATCACTTTAAAATTATGTACATTATTTACATTCCTCTTTGTATCTTCTATTCTAGATCTTTTACCCTGAGTTTTACCACTTTCCTTGCCCAAGGTGGACCGCGCACACGGTAATTGAATTCCCCCGAACCATTTTTATTCAGTTCCTTGGCTTTCATATACAGTTTCTTTTCATTTTCCCTCTCTGTGCGTGTTAAATCATTTGCCAGTCGTACTTCACTGTATTCAATGTTTTCCCGCAACTTTCCACCTCGTTTAAAGAACTCCACTTTTTTTTCTGGGGTTGAGAAGGTAACGAGCAATGGACGGCGTTTCTTATCTTTATTAAATTTACCAAGTCTCACTAACTTTATCATGCTTTCCTCTGCGATGTTCACTTCACAGACATTAGCAATTTCTTTCACATGGTCTCTGTCATAGGAACGACGTACTTCCTTATTGTCTGAGTCACTTTCCTCTATCCCATAAATGATCATGTTACATTCTCTGTTTTTCCTCTCATTAATTTCACTCAGTACTGCTGATACTGGCACGGTGTGTTTTCCAGATTCACTCGCAGTCTCGTCCTCTGTATCGGCTTGATTTGATTCTGTTGATTTCTGTATTGCCTCAGAAACTATATCCCTCACTTGTTCTTCACTGCATTTCTTCTCTATCTCGTCCTCCAAATACTTAATTCTACTGTCGAACATCTTCATCATGTCTTTACATCTCTCCTCAATTTCTCTGTCCACAATGATATTTTTCTCCACTTTTTCTCGGCATGGCACACAGAACCACATGATATCACTACTATCCATCAGATTGTATTCTTCGACTGACTTGTCCAAGCACTTTATACAAAAGTGTTATTTATAACGTATGGAGTGCGCACATAAGTTACAATCATTCAAGGGGCAGAAAAAATTCTGCATTAGCAGAAATTTTCAGAAAATATACAGAATTTATTTAAATTTTATGTCAAACGCTATTTTATCTGATATTTCTATATTTTTATGTCACTTTGGTACTATAATAGGAATTCATATAACTGTATGTATCATGTTAATTAAAAACAGGTAGGCCATATACTTCCAGAAAAAAATAAATATTGGTTTTATCTAGCAATATATATTTATATAGTCAATACAAATGAAAATTTAAACTTTTACTTATATTTTAATTGTATCCTTATAAATAGACATAGGTGCCTAGCTAAATGACAGTAACATTTTTCCTACATAAAAAAAAATCAACACCAGATCTGTATTAATAGGTATATATGTTTTTTTTTACATAGGAAAAATAAGCAATGTCAGGGACTGTGTAAATAGTTGGTATTTTTTATCACTATAAAGTACTGACATAAGGTTTTTTGACATTCTTTCACAATATATCACAGTGCATCTCATTAAGTTAAATTCAGATTTTAATATGAAGTTAAAAGTGTAATATGTCATCATCCAAAATTGGTTGACAAAATGTTTTGAATTATTCATTTTAGCATTAAGAAGTGTTCTTGACACACTTATCTCAAGCAACAAAATGAAATCCCGGGGAGGATCAAAGTCCTGGAGAATTAATATAAAGAGCACGAAGGAGAGGTTTCCAGGGAGGAAAAAAATCATGTGCCCCCAAGTGAACGGGTAGAGGATAATTCAATGTAAGTTTAAATGGAAGAACAATTTACATGTGTGTTTTGCTAACATATGTATGTAGCTGTGTTTTTAATTATATTTACATGATTTATTTTTTTTTACATGTAT